ATCCCCACCCCCCCATCCCCCCTCCTCCTCAAGGGTAAGTAATCGCGTCTTTGCACGAGCAAGTCGCCCTGCAGAACCGGAAGCGCTCCAAGCCCTCCTTGGTCTTCGTGTTGCAGAGCCAGTCGTGGTAGGCGGCGTCCAGCTCCTTGCAGTTGATCCAGAGGTCGCCGTACGGGCAGGAATTCGTGCAGAGTTTCTTGGCCTTGCAGTGACCGGGGCAGGCGGAGCACGGCGCCCCTCGCTTGTACGGCCTCGAGAGCGTGTCCATGAAGTTGCCCCTGTGGTCAGAGAGAGAGACAAAGAGAAGGAGAGTTTATGAGAGTCTGAGAAAATATTTGGAAACTAGGATTCATTTAGATTCTTTTTTATCATTATTATTAAAGGGATCATGTGTGAAGGATAGAAATCAGGTATGAGATTTTTTGTTCTTAAGAGTAAAAAAAAATGAAGGAAACGGTCATACCAGCAACCTAGAAATAAATGAAGAATAATGCAATACCAGAATACAAATATTACCAAATACACCAACCAATAATATCAAAGAACTGCCGACGTAAGCGACGAGCAGCTTCTGGTAAACAAAAACAATAACGGATAAGCAGAAAAGCAGCCTCGTTCGATCCACGATCCTCACACCGAACGCACAGCAGAGCTTCCGATATTCTCACCAGATCACGTTATCCACGGTTTAATTAACTCCTCATTTCGCGCGCCAAAGAAAGCGAAGCCCGTAAATCCATCGCCGCTTCATTTGCACTAAATCACCGTGAAATTAAGTTCTTACATTATTCGTTCGATTCGTTTGCATTTTTTTTTCTTTTTTTTTTTTACCTCTAAGCTTATTACTTTGGCTGATCTTCCTCAGCAACAAATGAAACAGGCCACTGCTCTTGTCTCGGAATAAAGCTGCTGCGAGAAGGCCGGCAATAACCCGGAAGACGCTTCGCGCTCGTCTTTTGTTTTGCTCTTTACGTAAGTAGAATGGGAAAGGCTAGATCAGTAGCAACTCGAGGTCATGACGTCAGATTTTGATGACGTCACAAACGTTGCGATTCTGTTTTTGGAAAAAACACATAGGGTTTATTATCCATTTTGGTCTTTTCAATTTTAAAAACGATAATTTTAATGGTTATATTTTCAATGAACAATAATCGAAATAGCCCTGTGGATGAGAAGCGTGGGCCATTATGTTTATGCATGAATAGAGTGGAATTGCTCGCAGTGGGAGTCAAGCTATAGGCCTGTATTTTTTACTCAGCTTGAAGGAATTATGTATGCCTACTTTTATTATTTCCTCCATGAATGAATAAAAGATATTTTATTTAAGAATACCAGGCCGGGCTATTTTTAGAATAGCACATGTTCATGAATACATTTTGTACAATATCCAACAGTGTTAAAGTTTCAATGGCTTTTCAGGCGTTTTTGATTTCATGGTGTCTTGTTGGCCTGGTATCATACGCATTAAATAAAATACCTTTCATTCATTCATCGAGAGCATGGAGGTATCAATAAGAGTAGGTTTACTTAATTCCTTGAAGCTGAGTAAAAAATGTAGGCTTTTGGCTTGACTCCTACTTGGGAATCATTCATGCATAAACATAATCGCCCACCTTTCTCGTCTACAGGACTGTTTGGATGATTGTTCAATGAAAATATAACCATTAAAATCATGATTTTCTATCCTAATTGAAAATTTAAAAGACCAAAATGATCGACCATATTCACCGTTCGTCCAGTAGTGCACGAATTTCGTAATTTCTTATAACTAATTCGAGTGAAAGATTATCATCATCAATTTCGCCATAAAATTGTCCATCCACTTTTTGGCATAATTCTTGCCAGCAGAGCGGGCTATCCGGCCAGTTCGTGGGTGCCGCCATCATCAAAATAAACCCTATGTGCTTTTTTCCAAAAACAGAATCGCAACTTTTGTGACGTCATCAAAATCTGACGTCATGACCTCCTCGAATTGCTACTGATCTAGCCTTTCCCTAAGTAGAACTTTCTCAGAATTCAAATGTGGCACACGATTGTTATATTATTGTTGCATCGAGGCCAAATAGGATTACTTTTTATAGGCAATGCTAATAAAATGGACCACTCTCCATGTATAAAACAGTAATTTTCAATGAAAACAATGGTATTAATTGATAGATACATATTGCATATTTGAGTTTTTTGCTAGCTTTACAGCTCGAGGAAAGATTCCATCATTGGTGACTCATCAGGTTAAGACCCACTGGCGCCACAGTTACATATTTTTCATTTCTGTGACTAACAAATATAGAAAGGTAGGTTGAAAGATTTGGTGCAGGTGGACAGATATACTTTTAAGGCTCTAAGTGGTAACAAATATAGAAAGGTAGGTTGAAAGATTTGGTGCAGGTCGGCCATTTTCGTTGTTTACAAACGGGCCGCGAGGCGAGGCGAACTGCTTCCAACTCTCTCCCTGTTTGCCACGCAGTGCTTCGCGAAACGTTTTGTCAGGTCGATCGTCCACTTAATTTTGCCGAGCAATGTATGGTGCGTTTTGCCCGAGTGAACGCGAAGACATTTGGCGAACGGCTGGCTCTTTTGGTGCATTTTCGTCGAATATTTTGGAAATTTAAAAACTCAATGAGGCGGCGATTTTCAGATGCAGGCGCTAATGATAAAACGGATTTGTTAAAATAGCCTTAGCGTTTTTTTTTTTCTTTTATGATAATACGTTACAGAATTATTAAATATCTGTGTGTGTAAAGCAATTCACTGTAAAGCCATGGGATAATCTGAGCTTAGAAAATACTGACTGTAATGCGACCCAGAAAAGGAGGATCAAAAGAGACAAGAACTTATAGAAAAAGCAAGACAAGAATATACTTTATACTTAAAATATCATTTAACATAAATCAACATCTTGGCTACCGATAACTTGAACCGCATTCATGTTGACAATAGTAGAAAAGGTATGAATGAGAATATCTTCACAAAGCAAGAAATGTGTTTAAACGGTTTCGAATATATACCTTCGTCTGACGAAATATACATTCGAAACCGGTTTAAATACATCTCTTGCATTGTAAAGATACTCATTCCCATTCATACCTCATTCTTCCGACAACTTACACCAACATCTAACCCAGACGTCTAATGAAGGACCATCCCTTCTCATCCCTCCCTCTTTTACCCTTTACAGCACCTTTAAGACGACCATGCGCTACAGGGGCGGGGGAAGGGGTACCTGGCGAAGGTCATAACCGGGCTTCCAAAGGTCAGGAATGCGATATTATACTCTCACTTAGCTCACTGATGGACCAATTTCCCCGAGCGATAAAAAAAAATGCAACAACCGCAGTGTCAGGAATTAAGATAGGACAACTTTTACATTCAGGTCGTGAGCAATTTTTTTTCCTATTGTCTCCTTCGCAACAAGTAAAGTATTCCATGTGCTTATATGTGTGTGTTTGGATACTTGCATACACATTATATAGGTAAGTAGATGTATAGTAGATAGATAGACTGATAAATAGGTAGAGATAGAGGAAAACAAAGAGATAGATATAGAGGACAACAAAGATAGATACAGAGGTAGACAAAATAGATAGCTAGAAAGGCAGGTATATAGGGAGGGAGGGAGGGAGAGAGAGAAAATAAGAGAAGAAGAAAGAGAACCCAGTTTCCCTAATCCCCAGGGGAGTCGTGAAGCAACCTTAGGTGGGGAGTGGACTCGTGCATGAAAAAAAGATTTTTACGTCTTTTCAGACACACACACACACACGCTTACACCCCTCCCCACACAAACACCCACAACACTCACACACTTACACAACCCAACCACCACTTACATCGGGCAGTAGTTGCAGACGTAGTTATAGAAGGGCCTCGGGTAGGCGTGGGCGCAGTAGGCCAGACCGCAGCCGACCTCGTGCGTGGCGTGCCAGACCATCTGGGTGTAGTGGCCTATCACGTGGAGGTCGTTGTTGTTGCCCCCGTAGGTGAAGTTGTCCTTTTCTAGCCACCAGGTCTTGACGGCGAAGAACCTGGGGGGAGGAGGAGGGAGGGGGTGAGTTGCAGGTGGCGGTGACGGGGTGTTGGTGTAGTGATGGTGATGATAAAAGGTGTTGGTGACGTCGGTAAAGATAATAATTATCATGATTAAAGTACTAATGATCGTAATAATGATAATGGTGATAATAAGGATTTACATATGATGAATAATGATAATGATAGTAATGATATAGTGATAATAGTAATGATATAGTGATAATAATAATATAGCGATACCGAAAACCATAAGACGAAAAAGATCAAAGAGTGATAACAATAACAAGATGAAATCAATCGAACCTGAATAAGGAAAATTAACATAATAATGAAAAGGAAACTAAATACCACGTACGCAAATGGAATCGAAGGGAAACGACCCTAAACCTATTGTTAAGCGAAGTCATGCTACCTTTCTCCATCATTATATTGTCATTTCCCCTCCTGTAGTCAGGAGATCCCCTCCTTTGACCTTTCGAAAGATATTAACTAAAAGGATGGCAGAGACGACGCGGAAAGAGAGACTAATTGCGCGGGCGTTTGGAATATTTTCCTCCGATTCACTTTTGTTTTTGGCCCATAATTCCTCCATCTGTCTTTGGTCCCGCGTTCCACTTGCTACCAAAACAAAATCGAATCGCTGGAATAAAGAGACATGGAGTAAACGAATTTCTCTTATTTACGTTTTCGTTATTGGTCTGATGAGATATAAAGAACATATAATTTAATAATACGCGTGCAGTGCTCGTGCAAATCATGCTTATTTGAGGTGGGTAAATGACTTTAACGAGCTTCATTCAGTGCCCGGGACTCGATGCGCATGCGTCCATAGATTCCACTCTCCCTCTCGCCCGCGCTGGAGGAACTTACGACTGATCTGGGTTTTCTATTCATACCCTCGAAAGCCGTTCATCCATTCACTCAAACACTCGATGCTACGTTCTTTTGGTGTTCTATCCGGTTCTAGAGACACTCGACATTCGAACATATGTGTATTGAATGTGTTGAAATCCTCTCGCAAATGGATTCCCTATTCAGGCACTTCAGTTTTAGTAATATTTTAAACTGAGGAAGATGACAGTAATAACACTTTCAGACAGAATGGCGGATACAGTTACTAATTTAATACAAAAATGATAATAGCTATTTTATAGTGTATATATGATACATTATAGCATACATACATACATACATATATATATACTATATATATATATACTTATACATACATACATACATAATACCACACATACAAAACACACACACACAACACACACACCACACACCACAAACACAATACACACATCACACATATATGTATACCTACAAATAAGTATATATATACCATCCACTATACAAATATATATATATATATGTAATGTATAGTAATATATATATATATTATATATGAATATATATATTTTATATAAATGTATATGATATAATATATATATATATATATATATATATATATGATATATATTGATATAGTATATATACATATATATATATACATATATATGGATTATACATTACTATATTGCTCTATATAGTATATACTGATATATAAATATTATATATATATTCACCTACTTTGAGTACATATATATATTATATCTACATATATATAATTATATTAGTACATATATATATGACTTATATATAACATATATATACATATATCATATACATATATATATACATATTTATATATATACACTTATATATTAATATATTATAGTAAATAGTTATAAAAATATCTAATATAAATAATATATATATCCATATATGTACATTTATCTGTAAGACTATAGGCATACTTGGGTGTAATTACTTCATTACTACATATATGCATGTGCACTACAATGTGGTGCAAGTTATCGTAAACAGAGTAGAAGGTGTATATGTGTACCCACCTTAAAAAAAAAAAAGATGAAAGCAACCCACAGACATAAATACCGAGAAATGAAAAATGATAATGAGGAAAATTAGACAGGAAGCAAATTGCTAATTACGCTCGTATGTCAGGAAGCCTCCAGATTGAATCACAGCCCCGACGTGGCGCTCTTCGGGATTCTGTAACCAAAAACGCGTCTCACAGCATGGCGGGGTCTTGATTGCGACGGCGCGGTGCGTGGCGCGAGGGTCTGATGCGGGGGCTTTGCGAACGTTGTGGCGGTCTGATGTGGCGGCTGCGATCCGGTCGGTAAGAGTCTGATATGTGGGAGCTGCGAGCGGTGGAGGGTCTACGGATTGCGGGGCCGGCTGCGATGGTGGGCGTCTGATTTGCGGGGCTGCGACCCGGTGGTAAAGGTATATTACGGGGGTGCGAAGGTGGGGTCTGATTGTGGGGCCTGCTTTGAGGTGGAGGTCTGGATTTGGTGTGGGGGCTGCGAGGGGTGAGTGGGTCTGTTTGGGGGCTGCTGAGGGTGGGGTCTGATTATGGGGCTTGCGAGGTGGCTGGATCTTGATTGCGGGGGACCTGCGAAAGGTGTTGGTCTGATTGCGGGGGGCCCGGGGCATATGCAATGGTTGGTGAGGTCTGGATTGCATGGGTGCTGCGACTTCGGTGGTTCTTTATGATGTCGTTTTATTGTGGGCTCTGCGAGGTGGGGTCTGATTACGGGGGGGCTGCGAGGTGGGTCTGATTGCGGGTGGCTGCGATGGTGGTGGTCTTGATTGCGGGGGGCTGCAACCCGGTGGGTGTCTGATTGCGCGGTTGGCTGCGAGCGGGTCGGGTGTGGTCCGTTTACTGATTCACTGTCGGGTCTTGGCGAAAAAGGTGGGGGTTACTGAATCCGGTTGTGGTGGCGGGTCGAGATGTGGTCTGAATATTATTTGTAAAACGTTAGGGGTGGCTGCGAACGATGAATATTAGCATAAGAATAATCAGGCAATGACTACAATCTTGATGTGGGCTGAGCTGAAACGCGCTTCGCTGTGCTCTCGCTCTGATCGCGGCTCGCCATTCCCCAGAACTACTAGTGAGTGGTCTGTAAGGATTAGTGTCATGCGAATGAATAACGTCCGGGTGGTCTGGTGTGTGGGAACTGCAGCAGAAGAAAGTGTTCGGGGTGCAGCTCGTGAAGCTGCCAGGTGGTGCTGTAACTGTCTGCTAGAGGCCTGACGAGGTGAGGGTGATACATGAATTGCTAGGGAAAAAGCTGCTCTGATTTCAGGGTGGGTCTGATTACGGGGGCGGTGCGGAAAAGGTGTATGGCCTGTGGGGTAGCTGCGAATGGGTGTGTCTGATTATTAAGCGTGGCTGCAGATGATGAGATGGGGTCTGATTACTGGGAGAAGGTTGCTCCTGATATCTGAGGTGGGGTCTGGTTGTGGGGAGCTGCGAGAGTGGAACGGTGCTTGATTACGGGGGCTTGCGAACCGGTGGGGTCTTGATTGTGGGGCTGCAAGGTGGGGTCTGGTTGTGGGGGCTGCGAGGTGGGGTCTGATGTGTGGGGCTGCAAGTGGGGTCTGGTTGGGGGAGCTGCAAGGTGGGGTCTGGTGTGGGGGCTGCAAGGGGGGTCTGGTTGTGGGGGCTGCAAAGGTGGTCTGGTTTTGGGTGGCTGCAAGTGTGGGTCGATTGTGGGGGGCTTGGGTGGGTCTGATTACGGGGGTGCTGCGAGGTGGGGTCTGATTGCGTGGGACTGCGATGGTTGGGGTCTGATTACGGGGCTGCAAGAGGTGGGTCTTGATTACAGGAGCTGCAAAGTGGGGTCTGATTTATAGGCTGCAAGTGTGGTGTCTGATTGCGGGGGCTGCAAGGGGGGTCTTTGATTGCAGCTTCTCGAATATTAGGTGAGTATTTTGGGTGTATTTAGAGTGCGGGAAGATACCTTCGTGTTATTTATGGTACTAATGCTGATAAAGATATTCTAACGATTGTGATGGGAATAAAGATGGTAGTCTTTATAGTGACGATATTGATGATAAAGATGACAATAGTATTAGTGATAATGAGAAGAAAGAGAAGCAGCAGATAAAGAAAAATAAAAATGAAAACGAAAGAGAAGATAATTCAGTTATGGAAACAAACAGAAAAACGACAAAGGCATTTCCCAAGCACCCGAATGCGAGGGCCGAACGTACCATGGCACCTGATGCGTGGACACGAAGATGTTCTGGCCGCAGGAACCGTACTCCTCGACCTCACGCCCTTCGGCAGAGTCGTGCACGAGCAGCTGGCAGGCGTCGGCCCAGCGCTGGGCGTCTACGGCGGCGGCGGACGACCAGCTCTGCGGAGGAAGGGCGGCTTTAGCTGAGGGCGCCGGGAGGGCTGTCCGTGGGAGGAGGTACTTTATTTCAGGTATACACGCGTACACACACACACACATATTTACTTAGACACACATACATGGGCGCAGACACACGCATACATACACACGTACAGGTACATAGAAAAGCATCAAAAGGAGAAGCGTCTAAACATCCAATATCGAACAGGGGCCGGATTCTCAAAAGAGCCTAAAGTTAAGCCGCGCTGGAGGCCTTAACCGTCCTGCTGTATTTCCCTTGTATAAGAGCGAAGAGTGTTGGTTTCCCGCCCGCCGGAAAGCGCGGAAGGCTGCTCTCCCCCTGCCTTAACCTAAGGCGCCTCAACCCGCACCAATTTGGCGGGTCCCTTGCTCTGTGTATGGGTCGTAAGATCGCTCGGCCTTAAGTTAAGGCGCCTTAAGGAGATACGGCGCCTTAACGCGTTTGAGAATCCGGCCCCTGAGCCTTATGTTACGAAAGGGTTGGGAATTAGGGTTTCGAATCTATCTCGTTCTGATTCATGTCTCGAATGGTCGTTTCGGAATTCATATGGATTCACTGTGGGATGATCATTTTTTTCCCCCAAGGGACTGAATTTACTTTGCAATATTCCGATAAGCTACACATACATAAAAGTAGTTGTCTCGTAGCGTTAACAACTAAATTAAAAAAGAGCGCAGTTGCTTATGTCAAGAAATGTAGATAGAAAGTTGAACTTTAAAATATTATCCAGTTAACGCCGTTTCGTTTTATGTCAGGAGAAAAATGTTAAACAAAATGTTAAATATAATGTGGCTGTGCTAATGAATCATGAAGATAATTCCGCCAGCTTAACATAAACAAATAACGATTTTACTTAATGTCATTCAGTTAAAGGCGAACATTAATTATAGATAGATATGTAGATAGATAGACAGATACAGATATATATAGATAGATAATCATATATATATATATATATATATATATATATATATATATATATATATGTGTGTGTTTGTGTGTGTGTGTGTGTGTGTGTGTGTGTTCCCATGTATGAGGGGGAGGGTGACCTGATTTGAAGTAATCGTACCCTGCTTAATACTGCACACGGTTACATAATTTTTTTTTTTTCTGAATTGTCTCTTTTTGAGGTATTGCCCAACGGCTTCGGATTACATGAATCACATTCCAGATCTTTCTCTCTCTCTCTCTCTCTCTTTCTCAGCTTCTCTCTCTCCCTTTCCTCCCCTCTCTCTGTCTCTCTCTCCTCTGTCTCACTCTCTATGACTCTTATGTTGCTATGTCTCTCTCTCTCTCTCTCTCTCTCTCTCTCTCTCTCTCTCTCTCTCTCTCTCTCTCTCTCTCTCCCTCTCCCTCTCCCCTCCTCCCTCTCCCTCTTCCCCTTCCCTTTTCCTCTCTTCCCTCTCCCTCTCTCCTCTCTCTCCTCTCTCCCTCTCTCTCTCTCTCTCTCTCTCTCTCTCTCTCTTCTCCTCTCTCTCTTTCTCTCCCTATTTCTCCCACGCATGTCGCCTTTCAATGATGATCTCCACTGAATACTTCAAACCCGCCCACGCTTTCTCACTGCCTAGCAAAGCTCATTGGCCGCGTGTCTGTAGACTGGAAAGTACGCCCACACATACGTTGAAAGGTGGAGCTGTTTCTTCAATTTTTCAGAAACTTTGGGGACTCTGGTCTCTACAGCAACGCTAACGCGTGAGGAGGAGAGGAAAATGTATTT